ATCCTGAAAAATATTTGGGGGTGCTTAACTTTTTTCCAGGTGTATATGTGTAGTGAAGAACATGTTCCCTGATCTTTACATATTACTAAAGACACAATGCTGAAATGTACCTTGGTTTGTACAGACTGGTTATATGTGTAGTGAAGAACAAGTTCCCTAATCTTTACATATTACTAAAGATGCAAAGCTGAAAATGTAACTTTGCTTCTGCAAATTCCTAAAGCCCACAATTAATAGAAGTTACTCTGACCTCTAAAGATTGATTGGATCCACAATGCAAGAAATGTACACTTACTTCAATATAATGCAGAGCCATTGAACCTAAGAATGTTTCTTAGCCTTGAAACATAAAGTTGCTGATTAAACCAACAAAGTAAAAAATGTACCTTAAATCTAACAGACAGTAGAACCACATTATAGAAAATGTGGCAATGGTTTTTCTAAATTAGGTCTTATAAAATGGTTACAAGTAATATATTCATGAAATCTAGCTTTTGCACTGTTGAAACTGTTATAAGTATAGACGGGTTGACTCTAGGGTATATCTAATGTGACCCCATATTTGAAAGGTGATTGAGCCTTAGAAACGAAAAGTGTGATTCTAGCCTCAAAATCCATTGAATTTAAGAAAATAAAACCTATATGTTGAACCTACACAAATATAATTAAAGTACAGTCTTAAATACTTTCTCAGCTTGACAAAAAACAAACAGTTTAACATATAAAACTAGGGTTCAAACTACATGAAGATAATAATGTGTCTTGATAGAGAAAATATCTTGGAAGTAGTACACATAGGCAGCAAAGGAAATATACACCATTTATCAGAATTAATGTCTCTTTAGAAGCCTCTCATGTGAAATGAAAAAATAAATTAAAAGCAGATATGGATGCTAAGATCCTATATGTTCTATACCTAAATCTAATATTGACTGTGTAGCAAACATGGAAGACAAACTTTACTCATCGATTTCAGTGATCTCTTTTAATATTTTACTTTGTTGGTGTTGTTGCCTTAAGAGGTAAAAGGTGTAGCACAAAGCTGCACAATATGCTATCTGTGCTGTGCCCATCATGAGTATCAAAACCAGTTTTTAGAGTTATAAATGTTCAGACTTATTACTGAGCCACTGAGGAGCACAAAATTAACTGCTCAACTGTTTGACTTATATCACTAATGTTTTGTATTTTGATATATTGTACAAGAAACAAACCCTCTTTGACAGGAACTTCACTAAAACTAATGAAAACAATCTAAATACTTTCATAAAATAGTTTGTTTGTTGCTGAAAGGAACTTTTATCACTTTAAAATAAACTTTTTAGTATTTAGTCAGAGTTTTGTCATAGTATGTAATAGACTATCTAAAAAAAAACTGCAAACTAATATGACAGTTATTAATAATAAATACTACAAAGCAATTTATGTTTACATCTACCATAAAAACTGTGTCAATACAACCAAAAGTTTAACCTCTATACACATAAACTAATAACTTTCCTGAAATATCTAATGCTTTCATTCCGTACCTGATAGGGAATGTCTTTCTTCATTCTTGTCTTTATTAGAATTTCCTTGAGTTGAATTACTTTTATCACTAAGCTCACTCTTTTTTCCTGTGTTTTTCACATCTAAGTTAAGTAACTCACTTTCTTCCTTATTCTGTTCAGAGTCATCTTTATTCAGTTTTTCATCAGTAGCTGAACTAACTAAAACAAAATCTTTTTCATATTTTGTCACAGCATCTTCTCTACAGATATGTTCAGAGCACTGATATTTGCCAGTAACTCTCTCTTCTTCATGGTCTGTGCTTAAAGTGTTTTCAATAATTTCTTTACTATCGTCACTAAGGCATTTAGCATGAAGCTTTTCTTCAATCTCTCTTCTTTTTCCTTCTGTTAAAGTTACATCAATATGGTTTTCATCTCCTCCTTCCAATAACAAACTAGAACTACCCTCTTTCTCCAGTCCTCTATCAGCAACATCAACTGTATTAGAGTTAGATTTCTTCTCCAATACTTCTCTATTTCTTAAGGAAGCATAATTTGTATTATCTCTAATTTCTTTTTCATTCTCAGATTCATCAAAACCAACATCTTTTATGCTTCCTCCATCTTCCAAAGAGCTTTTTTTCACTTCAGCTTTTAGTTCATGATTTAATTCATTCAAACATATCTTGTCGTCAACTACTCTGTCTGTATCTGTATTACTAGTATCACATTTTTCATCCACTTCTTCATTTCCTTCATCATCTGACGAATCAGAAGCTACCTCTTCTGCTACATCTTTATCACTTTCTAATTCTCCATTACTTAATTTCTCTTCTATTTCTTCATCATCTTCTAATATAACACAATTGGTTTTATTTTCAGTTTTTTCATTATATAATATACTAGTAGCTATCTCCTCTTTAATTTCCTTATTGTCTTCCAGTTCATCAATAATAAGTTTCTCTTCTTCTTTTCCATCATCTTCTAATGTATCACAATCCATGTGATCAACTCCTAAACCATTTTCTGATTCCATATAATTTATCTTTTCATCCTCTTTAACTTCAATTCGTGAAGAAGCAGGTCTATCGTCATCATCTACAGTAGTAGTGGATGAAGCTTTGTCCTATATTGCAAGGCAGAAGTTTTACTATTACTAATAAACCATTGATTGTTCAGGATTAAAATATAATATTTTTTTCTAAATAAAGAAAGTTAAGTAACAAAGATGAGAATACATAATGCCTTTAGGCTTAAAAAACTGTTTATTTTGAAACTAAAACTTCCATTACACCATAGGAAGCCTCAGGTTTCAGAATACACATATTAATAGGACTCTTTAATATGCTAAGTTTCATAACAAATATAGCGCTATCACTGTGAGAGAAGAATAGGTATATCATGACATTGTGGAAAGGTTTTGTTTTATTGTTCTGACAAAACTGCCACACTAAGGGGAAGTTTGCTTCACTCTACTTTTAGCATCACAATAAACAAAAAAGCCTATGATGCAGAATATACAATATTATCTATATATATAAAACCATGAATGTCTCTATCTCTCTGGGGGGTCTGTTCTTTATGCGAGGCCATATCTTTAAAGCATATCTTGGGGTACACATACTTTGTGTGAGAAGTAACATGAGCTATGTGGCCATGTCTTCAGAAGCCGCAAAGTGACCAATATACCAATTTTTGGCAAACAAGCTGACAAATTAGTCTCAATTTGAAAAGGCTAGATTTTTTGGGTAATTTGTGATCAAGAGTGGTCTTATTTATGTTTCTTTTCTGTGTGAGGACTTCTAATCATTCTATCCATGATCAATTATGTGTTAAAACGATTTAAAAACTCTATGGAGCCTTCATTTGCTTCTCTGCTCATTCTCTCTCTTTGCTCTCTTCTCTCTTTCTGCTCTTCCTCTCCCTCTTTTTTTTTCTACACATACATGCCTACTCTCTAACTCCCCTTAACTGAAAAAGACAGGTGCTTTTTCTCAAACATGCGTGCACACTCCGTAAACTAAACAGACTAGCTTAATCCATATCTTTTGCTGTGCTTGCTTGTACTCGCAAGAATCAGCTATACAATGAATTTACCAAAACGTTTTGTATCGGCAAATTTTAATTTACATTGTGTTGCAATGAGAAGATAATAAATCAATTCTTTGTTAAATGGAACAATAATAAAGTCAAAATACACTGCAAACGACACTTGACCACACATAAGAAATCAGGACACCAAAAGGTAGGGAATTTTGTTTTGGAAACTTGAAATATCATGTAAAGCACATGCAAGAAGCAGGAGCAATGTACCCGGTTTTGCTTTGATTAAAATATCTTTAGCAAATTTTTATTTTTTGCACATTGTTAATTTTATTAAATTTTAATCAAAATATTTAGCTAGGTACAGGGGCGGATTGGCCTATCGGGATACCGGGACTTGTCCCGGTGGGCCGATAGTCCAACTCAATTTTGGGCCGATCTA